AAAAAGGGTGTGTGCAAAGTTTCAAGTCGATAGCTTCAAAACTGAGAGACTAGTTTGCGTAGAAACAGACAGACAGAGCGAGCATCACCTTTGACCAAAACTATAATACCCTCTGCAAGGTTTTAAAAATATTATACCCAGTACAAATTCATAATAGTATTTATGTCATTGACATATATCAAAGAGATTTTTTTAATAAGGACACATTTTATTATTTCATTCGAAAGGATGAACAGACTTTTTAAAAATGTTTATTATATAAGATATAAACTTCAGCTGTTAGTTTGAAGCAGTGGTCGGCACTCAATACATTGATATAATTTTAATACATTAGTATTAGTAACGAATAGCAGAAAGAAGGCTGAGAGCATGACGTTTCATACGTTTATACTGTGTGCGTGCGGCAGAGCTCGGGCAGAGAAATTTCCTATGCCCTGCCGACCACTGCACTATGGGGTTTTTGAAATGTTTTTGTGGCATTAATTAATATCTCGGTCAGTTTTAGATATATCGACATGAAACTTTACCAATCGTTATTATTTGAACCTAGGCACATATAGTATGAAAGGATGCTTTCGGATCAGGAAGCTATATCCTATAGCTCCCATAGGAACGATCGGGTAAAAGTAAAGATAAGTTGATGAAATTTAAGGAGCTGATATTTGTTGCTATTTCAATACTATATAGAAATTTTGAACCAAATCGGATAACGCTTTCCCAGGGAATCAGTTTTTTTTCAAAATTGCATTATCCACATTTTTATTTGCATGGTGTTCAAAAAAACATCAGCTCAGCCCGGCCCTTTCCGCTGTTCCAAGCAGCGACCAAATCGGCTTTGGAGAAAGTGAGGATATCTAAGAAAAATTCAAATTGCACCAATAGTGGGGAAAAGTGCACAATAAGACTAACAGTCTGTGCTAGAGCTGGAAAAACATCGATGTTCGGTGACATCGATGTTTGAGAAGGAAAACATCGATTATAATCGATTATCGAAGTAAAAAAAAAATATTTTTTTTTGAATTTCAACATTTATTTACAGGAGATCATCTGCATTTTTGTTTAAAAATAAAAGTTTATCTACAGTTTGTGGTTTTAGACAGCTTCTGCGGTCACTAATTATTTGTCCGGCTTTGCTGAACGCTCTCTCGGATGCAATTGAAGTGGCTGGCACGCAAAGGTACTGCTTTGCAGTAGCTTTGAAAGGTTCCATTTCGTCAGGGCTCATCTATAAAATAAATATTGGATTTTAAATAGAATATCTAGAGTTTAAATTTAAAATACCTTATAAAAAGTTAATGGGTTGCCATCCTCCGGAGAGTTGGAAACCTCTAAGAATTGTCGCAGAGCTATAATAGAGTCTGCCCTGGCAGACTTCGTTTTTTCAGCCACTTTTTTTTGCAAAAAGGTAAACTGCCGGTTCTCCGGCTGTAGAGTTGGTGGTGTTGGCGCATTGTGGGTTAATTTGGACATTTTATTGTACAGTTCAATTTCGAGGGCCTTAGCTGCTTCGTCCGCATGTGTTTGGGAAAGAAAGCCGAGTTTTTTAAATCTTGGATCTAAAATGGTTGCAAGTCTAGCCACTGTCCTTGTTTCGTATTGGCTCAAGCGTTCTGACATACGGTTCTTAATATATTGAAACGTTGTTTTTCCTTCATTTGTTATTATTTTATGTTTCATGTCAGCAATTTTTTTGTTGAGCTCACATATCAAGGGGATGACTATTGATATGGTCACCACCTTTTCATGCGAAGTCGACTTCGTTGCATACTCAAAAGGCTCCAATATTTTAATGAAGTCTTCCAGCATAAGGACTTCCTCCGCTCCTAATGGTTGTGGGGCCTTTGGAATACCTAAAAGCACTGTCGATATGTGTGTATTAGTAAATAAAATGCGCTGCATCATATATAGAGCAGAGTTCCAACGGGTGGGCACCTCCTGAATCAAACTGTATGGAGTTTCACCTTGCGCCTTCTTAAATTTTTCATACGCTGATTGTGCTGCTTTTAAAGTAGTTCACGATCCGTTTGCATTTTTGTAACACTTGAGTCAGCATTGGAAGTTTTAAAGTGTCTTGAATCAATAAATTTATGGTGTGCGCAAAACATGGAAAGTTTTTAATCTGCATCAAATCACATGCCTTTTTCATGCTGGCGTCATTGTCCGTTACTATTGATGTAACTTTTTTAGGAGATTCCATTCAGTTAGTATTAGATTTAGTGAATCCGCTATAGTGAGAGCAGAGTGGCTTTCCGGAGATATTAATTTTTTAGTGGACAACACGGCTGACTTAAGGTCGTAGGATGGCAAGATAAAGTGGACCGTTACAGTTAAATAGCCCTCATTGGCTTTAGATGTCCAGCAGTCCGTGGTAATCCCAACGTGATCTACCTGCTGTAATGATTTTTTGAGTTTTTCTTTTGAGGCCTCATACTCATTTTTTAATATAACGTTGCGTCTTACTTGGCAACTTGTACAACGGATCCACGCACTTCATTAAATCTACAAACCCGCGATCGGTTACGATGCTGAAAGGTTGCACGTCCAATGCTATCATTCTCATTACGGCTTTGTCTATAGCGATTATTCGAGCAGAGGTATTGGAGTATTGCTTAGAACTTTCCAGAAATTGGTTCATGCATGGTGAAACCGAAATGTTCCCTGTTTGCTGACTTACAGGATGTGCAGTCCTTAAATGCTGCATAAAATTGCTGGTATTTCCTGATGTTTTAAGGACCTTTCCACATTGCGTACAAGTCGCTGTTTGATCAGTGCCCTTTTTAAAAAATTGCCAAACTATGGAAATTTAACAAATAAAACATCGATTTTAAAAAATTTTCGCCAACATCGATAGTATCGATGTTGCATCGAGGTTTTTTCCAGCTCTAGCCTGTGCTCAGTATTGACAACGCTATAACATACACTTGGACGCATTACAAACTTTTTATTTCTTCTATTTCAAAACTCTTCCCAAAGTCCCCTGAAAATTAAAGAGTTAAATAGTTTTAACTGTAACTTTAAATCTGAGTTCTTTTGACCATATAAACTCAAATATCCTAATCTAAATATCTTGTTTAGTTTTTGAGTGAGAATGTGTTTCTTAAATAATGGGCGGTGCCAAGCCCAATTTTTCTTAAATTTTAAATCTCTTGAACACGTGAACTCAAATCAAAAATCAGAACTTAAATATCTTGTTTCGTTCGTAAAATATTATTTTTGGCCAAAAAAGAGGTCAAATTTCTTTTAGTGCACTGGTCTAAAGTGATAGCAAAAAAATCGAGAAGGCAAATATAATAAATACATAAAAAAATATTACTATGTTTTATAGTAAGAGTACGGCACATGCAAAAATATTTTCCTTGTTTACGCCACACAAATGTTAATTCAACTGAAATAGCCTGAAAATTTTCAATGAAAACTTGAAAAAAAGTGTGTTGCTTTAATATTTAATCAACTATAAACAATTAATTTTGCTAAATAAAAAATTTAATTGTGGTTTGCATTAGGTTACACATCGTATACCTCTGCCAACTTGCAGAGTCCCGTATAGTTTACATTGGCGCCCATCTCGCAGCCGGAGGCCTTGAAACCCTTCTGGAAGACCGGCTCTCCCACCCAGTTGGTGGTGGCGTAGTTGCAGGCCATCAGGAACCAGTTCATCCCGTCCTGGTAGTAGAAGGCAGCGGCGCATCCGCAATGTGTGTTTTTTTCCTGTGCCATCGCCGTAAAATGTCCTATTTGACTGAGGCAAAAAAAAAAAATGAAAATTTTAAAAAATTTGTTTGAATGGGTTAAGATTAGAGAATTAAAACTTAATACTCGACACAACTTAAAAACACATGTATGTACATATGCACATATGTATGTACCTAGTCGACCGATCGTTTTGAAATTTGGTAGGTCGGATTAACTGACCTTAACTGAAAAATATAATCTGTACCAAGTTCGAGCTTTCTATCTTCAAAAACACAAAAGTTGGGTCAAATCCGATCGTTCAGTTATATGGCAGCTATAGGATATAGTCGGCCGATCCTTATGAAATTTGGTTGGTTGGATCAACTGACCAAAAATAGAATCTGTATTAAATTCCAGGATAGGATATAGTCGGCCGATCCTTATGAAATTTGGCATGTCGTAATTTTTGGCCAAAAATAGCTCTCATGTCAAATTTGAACTCTCTAACTCTAAAAACCGTCCGTCTGTCTGTCCGTCTGTCTGTTTCTACGCGAACTAGTCTCTCAGTTTTAAAGCTATCGTCTTGAAACTTTGCACACATCCTTCTTTCCTTTGCACGCAGTATATAAGTCGGAACGACCGGGATCGGTCGACTATATCCCATAGCTGCCATATAACTGATTGATCGGAAGTGGTATAACTTTGGTGTTTTTAGAGTTCGAGAGTTCAAATTTCAAATTTTCAAATTTGACATGAGAGCTATTTTTGGCAATACATTACGACATGCCAAATTTCATAAGGATCGGCCGACTTTATCTTATAGCTGCCATATAACTGAACGATCGGAAATGGTATTTGGTAGAAATATCAACTTTCGTATATTTGCAAACATATTTCGCAAACATATCCGATGTTTGCGATATATATCCGGTTTTAACTGCAAGGGTATATAAACTTCAGCTCCGCCCGAAGTTAGCTTTCCTTTCTTGTTTTTTTTTTTTATTATTTATAAGGTTTTTTTCCTTGTTTTTTAAGACATTTAAATTAGAGGTGATGAGATAGTATTGAATTCGGTTATCACATGAACACACATACATACATACATACATATGTAGATTCATTGTTCCAAAAGCTTTTTGAAAATACAGTTGGGACTACGAGCAAATATTGATACAAATCGCATAATTAAAAAAATAAATATCTTAGCCACACTTTCATCGAACAATGGAATATTGTCGAATTGGGCTTTTTTCCAGAAGTGAGTTGAGTTCCGTTGCTGACTATAAAAGCTAGCTGTTCCACAAGGTTTCTTTTAAAACAGTATAAAGATGTCGCGATTGCTTCAGGTTCTGCTTCCACTCATTTTCCTGATGTCTTGGGCGTTCGGAAAAACGAACTACTGTGACTTCTCGCTTTGTGGCACCTCCAAACACATTGCCTGCAACAATTATGGTGTAAGTGCCTTTATAAATAGTTCTTTATATTGTGATTCAAATAATGGGAACTGATTAAAAGTATCAGTAAAGTGAAAACGGCGATACAAAAAAACTATAAAAGTGTGAAAGAACAAAGCATATTTATAGCATATTTATTAACTCTTAGATTGGCTTAAAATATTTAAACTTTGAAATTCCACCGGGAATTGTATAATTGCAATACCCTGAGAGGTGATTTTGGTATAAATCTGTGGTTAAGATATTACATTCGTGTATTGAATTTTTGTTCAAAATCCACAAAAATGCCAGTAACTGTTAATCATGAAGTGTTTTTTTTTGTGTTATTCACTTTAAATACTACGATGACAACAATAAAACGGTATCTTACCAAACCACAGGCTTGGGCATCGACCTGTCCCACCAGTCCCAGTCCTACAGCCGAAAGCTTTAAGAAATCGGATCAACAGCTGATTCTTAAGATGCATAACTACCGTCGAAACCGACTGGCCAGCGGACTCCTAACCAAATACAAGGCTGCGAAGCGGATGGCAACCATGCGTTGGGACGCCGAGCTGGCAGCCCTGGCTGCCCTCAATGTAAAGCAATGCAAGATGAACCACGACGCTTGCCATAACACGAAGAAGTTCAAAGCCAGTGGCCAGAATCTTGCCATATACGGCTATTCGGGGGCCCAGTCTGGAAAGACAGTTACGGAGCTGATCATCGCATCCATTAATATGTGGTGGAACGAGAAGAAGGATGCCAATATGGGGATAATTAACAAGTATCCAAGCAGTTGGTCCGGGCCGTAAGTAACCCACTTGCTAAGCCAATAATTACTAGAGACAAATTTCAGAATTATATAAGCCATTATGAAATATTCTGAAATATTATGAAAGTGAAATAATATGAAAGTGCGAACGTTCAGTCTTAATTTTTCCACAGCACATTTTCTTTTTATATCCTTGCAGAGGGTATTATAATTTTGTCCAAAAGTGTGCAACGCAATGAAGGAGACATATCCGACCCTATAAAGTATATATATTCTTGATCAGGATAACCTCCTGAGTTGATATGAACCGTCTGTCCGTCTGTCTGTCTGTCCGTCTGTCTGTTTCTACGCGAACTAGTCTCTTAGTTTTAAAGCTATCGACTTGAAACTTTGCACACACCCTTTTTTCCTTTGCACGCAGTATATAAGTCGGAACGGCCCGGATCGGCCGACTATATCCTATAGCTGCCATATAACTGATTGATCGGAAATGGTATAACTTCGGTGTTTTTTGAGTTAGAGAGTTCAAATTTTACATTAGCGCTATTTTTGGCGCAAAATAATACGACATGCCAAATTTCGTAAGGATCGGCCTACTATATCCTATAGCTGCCATATAACTGAACGATCGGAAATGACCCAATTTTCGTATATTTGAAGATAGAAAGCTGGTTTGATTTTAAAACGTATTAAAAGTTGGTTGCGTGTAATATAGTGAGCCTAAAAAAGAAAAAAAAATTTCAAAAAAATTTCAAAAAAAAAAAGAACTAAAAAAAGGTTGGTTAATGATTATATTACATGAAAGATAAAGTTAATTTTATAATAATATCAATAATAATATAAAATATTGTATTTTTTGGTTTAAAGTTCTATACCAAACCAAGTTAAAGTTTGAAGTTAATGCTGAAATTAAAAATGGAAATTGAATAAAATGAATCATATTCATTTATATTTACCTTAAAAGTAAAAAAAAAACCAAAATAAAAATGATAGATGAAAATATCGTGTGTGTCAGATATAAAAATAAAATTTAAAACTTAAAAAATGCAATTAAAAAAAAATATGACATATAAGAAATTTTTAAGAAATATTTATAAATGACGTTTTTGTAGTGCCTAATTATAGTGCTAATCATTATAGTGCTTTCAAAAAATTTTCAATAATTATTTATAGATGACGTTTTAATAGTGCTTAATTAAGTGCTAATCATTATAGAGCTTATCGAAAGATTCACTTTTTGAGAAAATAAAAAAAGAGGTATTAGTACGAGATTTTTTTAGTTGACAGTAAACAATTGTCCATTAACCAAAAAAATTTAAATCAAGGTTGTTTTAAATTAATGTTTTTTACCAATAAAATTTACAAGTATTTTAGTAAGTACTAGAGATTATTTAGAACTTCACAAAATTATCACAACAGTACCAGACTAGGTACATAAATTTATGCATATGTACATACATGTGTTTTTAAGTTGTGTCGAGTATTAAGTTTCAATTCTCTAATCTTAACCCATTCAAACAAATTTTCTAAAATTTTCATTTTTTTTTTGCCTCAGTCAAATAGGACATTTTACGGCGATGGCACAGGAAAAAAACACACATTGCGGATGCGCCGCTGCCTTCTACTACCAGGACGGGATGAACTGGTTCCTGATGGCCTGCAACTACGCCACCACCAACTGGGTGGGAGAGCCGGTCTTCCAGAAGGGTTTCAAGGCCTCCGGCTGCGAGATGGGCGCCAATGTAAACTATACGGGACTCTGCAAGTTGGCAGAGGTATACGATGTGTAACCTAATGCAAACCACAATTAAATTTTTTATTTAGCAAAATTAATTGTTTATAGTTGATTAAATATTAAAGCAACACACTTTTTTTCAAGTTTTCATTGAAAATTTTCAGGCTATTTCAGTTGAATTAACATTTGTGTGGCGTAAACAAGGAAAATATTTTTGCGTGTGCCGTACTCTTACTATAAAACATAGTAATATTGTTTTATGTATTTATTATATTTGCGTTCTCGATTTTTTTTGCTATCACTTTAGACCAGTGCACTAAAAGAAATTTGACCACTTTTTTTGGCCAAAAATAATATTTTACGAACGAAACAAGATATTTAAGTTCTGATTTTTGATTTGAGTTCACATGTTCAAGAGATTTAAAATTTAAGAAAAAATTGGGCTTGGCACCGCCCATTATCTAAGAAACACATTCTCACTCAAAAACTAAACAAGATATTTAGATTAGGATATTTGAGTTTATATGGTCAAAAGAACTCAGATTTAAAGTTACAGTTAAAACTATTTAACTCTTTAATTTTCAGGGGACTTTGGGAAGAGTTTTGAAATAGAAGAAATAAAAAGTTTGTAATGCGTCCAAGTGTATGTTATAGCGTTGTCAATACTGAGCAAAGGCTGTTAGTCTTATTGTGCACTTTTCCCCACTATTGGTGCAATTTGTATTTTTATACCCTTGCAGAGGGTATTATAATTTTGTCCAAAAGTGTGCAACGCAGTGAAGGAGACATCTCCGACCCTATAAAGTATATATATTCTTGATCAGGATCACCTCCTGAGTTGATATGAGCATGTCCGTCTGTCCGTCTGTCCGTCTGTCTGTCTGTCTGTCCGTTTCTACGCGAACTAGTCTCTCAGTTTTGAAGCTATCGTCTTGAAACTTTGCACACACCCTTCTTTCTTTTGCACGCAGTATATAAGTCGGAACGGCCCGGATCGGCCGACTATATCCTATAGCTGCCATATAACTGATTGATCGGAAATGGTATAACTTTGACGTTTTTAAAGTTAGAGAGTTCAAATTTGACATGAGAGCATTTTTTGGCAAAACATTACGACATGCCAAATTTTATAAGGATCGGCCGACTATATCCTATAGCTGCCATATAACTGAACGATCGGAAATTACCCAACTTTTGTGTTTTTGAAGATAGAAGTTTGGGATATTTTTAGGTTTGGTTTTTGTATTATATTAAATTGGGTTATATTATCATATTTTCATAAGGATCGCCCAACTATATCCGATGTTTGCGATATATATCCGGTTTTAACTGCAAGGGTATATAAACTTCGGCTCCGCCCGAAGTTAGCTTTCCTTTCTTGTTCTTAGATAACCTCACTTTCTACAAAGCCGATTTGGTCGCTGCTTGGAACAGCGGAAAGGGCCGGGCTGAGCTGATGTTCTCATGTCAAATTTGAACTCTCTAACTCTAAAAACCGTCCGTCTGTCTGTCCGTCTGTCTGTTTCTACGCGAACTAGTCTCTCAGTTTTAAAGCTATCGTCTTGAAACTTTGCACACATCCTTCTTTCCTTTGCACGCAGTATATAAGTCGGAACGACCGGGATCGGTCGACTATATCCCATAGCTGCCATATAACTGATTGATCGGAAGTGGTATAACTTTGGTGTTTTTAGAGTTCGAGAGTTCAAATTTCAAATTTTCAAATTTGACATGAGAGCTATTTTTGGCAATACATTACGACATGCCAAATTTCATAAGGATCGGCCGACTTTATCTTATAGCTGCCATATAACTGAACGATCGGAAATGGTATTTGGTAGAAATATCAACTTTCGTATATTTGCAAACATATTTCGCAAACATATCCGATGTTTGCGATATATATCCGGTTTTAACTGCAAGGGTATATAAACTTCAGCTCCGCCCGAAGTTAGCTTTCCTTTCTTGTTTTTTTTTTATTATTTATAAGGTTTTTTTCCTTGTTTTTTAAGACATTTAAATTAGAGGTGATGAGATAGTATTGAATTCGGTTATCACATGAACACACATACATACATACATACATATGTAGATTCATTGTTCCAAAAGCTTTTTGAAAATACAGTTGGGACTACGAGCAAATATTGATACAAATCGCATAATTAAAAAAATAAATATCTTAGCCACACTTTCATCGAACAATGGAATATTGTCGAATTGGGCTTTTTTCCAGAAGTGAGTTGAGTTCCGTTGCTGACTATAAAAGCTAGCTGTTCCACAAGGTTTCTTTTAAAACAGTATAAAGATGTCGCGATTGCTTCAGGTTCTGCTTCCACTCATTTTCCTGATGTCTTGGGCGTTCGGAAAAACGAACTACTGTGACTTCTCGCTTTGTGGCACCTCCAAACACATTGCCTGCAACAATTATGGTGTAAGTGCCTTTATAAATAGTTCTTTATATTGTGATTCAAATAATGGGAACTGATTAAAAGTATCAGTAAAGTGAAAACGGCGATACAAAAAAACTATAAAAGTGTGAAAGAACAAAGCATATTTATAGCATATTTATTAACTCTTAGATTGGCTTAAAATATTTAAACTTTGAAATTCCACCGGGAATTGTATAATTGCAATACCCTGAGAGGTGATTTTGGTATAAATCTGTGGTTAAGATATTACATTCGTGTATTGAATTTTTGTTCAAAATCCACAAAAATGCCAGTAACTGTTAATCATGAAGTGCTTTTTTTTGTGTTATTCACTTTAAATACTACGATGACAACAATAAAACGGTATCTTACCAAACCACAGGCTTGGGCATCGACCTGTCCCACCAGTCCCAGTCCTACAGCCGAAAGCTTTAAGAAATCGGATCAACAGCTGATTCTTAAGATGCATAACTACCGTCGAAACCGACTGGCCAGCGGACTCCTAACCAAATACAAGGCTGCGAAGCGGATGGCAACCATGCGTTGGGACGCCGAGCTGGCAGCCCTGGCTGCCCTCAATGTAAAGCAATGCAAGATGAACCACGACGCTTGCCATAACACGAAGAAGTTCAAAGCCAGTGGCCAGAATCTTGCCATATACGGCTATTCGGGGGCCCAGTCTGGAAAGACAGTTACGGAGCTGATCATCGCATCCATTAATATGTGGTGGAACGAGAAGAAGGATGCCAATATGGGGATAATTAACAAGTATCCAAGCAGTTGGTCCGGGCCGTAAGTAACCCACTTGCTAAGCCAATAATTACTAGAGACAAATTTCAGAATTATATAAGCCATTATGAAATATTCTGAAATATTATGAAAGTGAAATAATATGAAAGTGCGAACGTTCAGTCTTAATTTTTCCACAGCACATTTTCTTTTTATATCCTTGCAGAGGGTATTATAATTTTGTCCAAAAGTGTGCAACGCAATGAAGGAGACATATCCGACCCTATAAAGTATATATATTCTTGATCAGGATAACCTCCTGAGTTGATATGAACCGTCTGTCCGTCTGTCTGTCTGTCCGTCTGTCTGTTTCTACGCGAACTAGTCTCTTAGTTTTAAAGCTATCGACTTGAAACTTTGCACACACCCTTTTTTCCTTTGCACGCAGTATATAAGTCGGAACGGCCCGGATCGGCCGACTATATCCTATAGCTGCCATATAACTGATTGATCGGAAATGGTATAACTTCGGTGTTTTTTGAGTTAGAGAGTTCAAATTTTACATTAGCGCTATTTTTGGCGCAAAATAATACGACATGCCAAATTTCGTAAGGATCGGCCTACTATATCCTATAGCTGCCATATAACTGAACGATCGGAAATGACCCAATTTTCGTATATTTGAAGATAGAAAGCTGGTTTGATTTTAAAACGTATTAAAAGTTGGTTGCGTGTAATATAGTGAGCCTAAAAAGAAAAAAAATTTCAAAAAAATTTCAAAAAAAAAAGAACTAAAAAAGGTTGGTTAATGATTATATTACATGAAAGATAAAGTTAATTTTATAATAATATCAATAATAATATAAAATATTGTATTTTTTGGTTTAAAGTTCTATACCAAACCAAGTTAAAGTTTGAAGTTAATGCTGAAATTAAAAATGGAAATTGAATAAAATGAATCATATTCATTTATATTTACCTTAAAAGTAAAAAAAAAACCAAAATAAAAATGATAGATGAAAATATCGTGTGTGTCAGATATAAAAATAAAATTTAAAACTTAAAAAATGCAATTAAAAAAAAATATGACATATAAGAAATTTTTAAGAAATATTTATAAATGACGTTTTTGTAGTGCCTAATTATAGTGCTAATCATTATAGTGCTTTCAAAAAATTTTCAATAATTATTTATAGATGACGTTTTAATAGTGCTTAATTAAGTGCTAATCATTATAGAGCTTATCGAAAGATTCACTTTTTGAGAAAATAAAAAAGAGGTATTAGTACGAGATTTTTTAGTTGACAGTAAACAATTGTCCATTAACCAAAAAATTTAAATCAAGGTTGTTTTAAATTAATGTTTTTTACCAATAAAATTTACAAGTATTTTAGTAAGTACTAGAGATTATTTAGAACTTCACAAAATTATCACAACAGTACCAGACTAGGTACATAAATTTATGCATATGTACATACATGTGTTTTTAAGTTGTGTCGAGTATTAAGTTTCAATTCTCTAATCTTAACCCATTCAAACAAATTTTCTAAAATTTTCATTTTTTTTTTGCCTCAGTCAAATAGGACATTTTACGGCGATGGCACAGGAAAAAAACACACATTGCGGATGCGCCGCTGCCTTCTACTACCAGGACGGGATGAACTGGTTCCTGATGGCCTGCAACTACGCCACCACCAACTGGGTGGGAGAGCCGGTCTTCCAGAAGGGTTTCAAGGCCTCCGGCTGCGAGATGGGCGCCAATGTAAACTATACGGGACTCTGCAAGTTGGCAGAGGTATACGATGTGTAACCTAATGCAAACCACAATTAAATTTTTTATTTAGCAAAATTAATTGTTTATAGTTGATTAAATATTAAAGCAACACACTTTTTTTCA